TGCCTTGCTCACAGCTAATTTTATACTTCTCCTCTCCGACACAGAATTTTGCTTTTCCAGAACAAATGAGCCCAAGTATCAACATCAGTCAACTTTTTTATTCAGGGCCAATGTTTGTTATGTACAACCTGGTACACTGAAGGGAGCAACATTTTGTTCAAGCTCATTAACAAAGGCAAATCCAGGCATCAGTATACAGAAACTTGTCCTGAGCATTTTATATTTATTGTCTTGAATGAAAAGTAATTCACATATAAGAGAATATATATTACATATAAGAAAGCCCACAAACCCTGTTCTCATCATTCAGGTTGAGAGGTGGAAATTTTAAACCACAGCAGACTTTTTTTTTTTTTTTTTTCCTCTGGACTATTTAAGAGGTATTTAGGAACAGGATGAATTTTCATATGCCTATCCTATACAGCACTGCTAACAGAAAGGAGACATTCAACACAGAACCTTGGGAATATACCAAAATGGCTTCACAACAACACAAACAGCAAGATCTACATGAAGAATATCAGCACAGCCTGGAGAGTGTAAATCAACTTTCATAGTTTGAAAAAATGAGTATTGATGAGGTACAGTGAATTCCAGCAATTTCAAAAAACTGACACCTGCAAAGATTACCTCACTTCTAACTCCTTTTACAAGCTGTAAAGAACTGACAGGCTATGTTCAGTTTGATTTATATTTTCATAATTAAAAATAATAATAAAATTAAAGTACCCTTTTAGGCAGCTGCAATTATTACATTTATACCACTTCCCTTTAGGGCACAGTTTGTGTGTCAAACATTAACTCTCCCTAAAAAGATGTTCTTTTGGTTTATTTTTTGTTTTAAACAGACTGCCAATATCAGAAACAATGCCAGATTTTCTCCGTGTCCTTGGTTTCCTTCAAATCTTTTCCTGTCACAGTAATTTGCTTTAGGACTCCTATTTTTAAGATATGTTGTTATTTAATTAGGTTAAAGAGTGTAATTCCCAGCCTGCACTTCAAATTATATCTTATGCACCTAAGCCTTATAAAACTTTAATGATTAAGTTATTACAGGAATTGCCTGAACTTGAAATTTCCTACATGTTGAGGGACAGTGTCATAAAAATACTTTAACTTGCATGATGTATTTAACTGTTACAACATTACAGAGAATTTTCATTTAGGGAAATACATTTTAGGTGTTAACATTGTCTTTATAGACACTGCAGAGCTAAAAAGTGCATTTATCCACATGAAACTGCTTCCTCTTTCTGGAGATTTAAAAAAAACACACACAAAACCAACAAACAAGTATTATTTTTTTTCTCTTTCCTTTTTAAAACCAGCTCTCCTATGAAAATGCACCTGCATTGTACTTCTCCTGGTGAAATACAGAATCCAGCTCAATTTTTGCAGGACATCATTTACCTGCCCTAAAGTTGAGAATCTCCTCTCTCTGCCTGCAATTCCTTCTCTTCTGCATTACACAAACTTCAGCTCATTTTAAAAAACAAAATCTCCTTGATTTTAGGCATGTACACCTCCAGAGAAGCTCCACACTGCAGGCTAAACAAGGTAGCACAGAGAGAAATTCCACACTGGTAAAATCAACTTTTTCTTGCTCTTTAGGATCTAAAAAACCCAACAAGTTACTTTCAAAGTCTTCCGTTTGAAGCACAAGCAGAGCAACAATGGAACAGCTGATGCCTAAGAGCTGGTTTCCCCTCCACACAGATGCTTGCTCCCTTTTCACCAAGGGATAAACCATCCCCAGTTACTGGGGGCTGACACATTATTCAACGGTAAGTGTGTGCAGGCTCTTGTCCCATAGTAAAAGGAAGGCAATTCAAGTAGCTTACGTCTGATTCTCATTATAGGAATGTTTTTAAATGCTGTAGTCTATCTTGATGTCAGATATGGCTTTCAGTCCTCACTCAGCTATTAAGAGAAAAGCCCATCTCCCCTATTTCCCTCTCCCCCCCACTGCCATGGCACAGGAACAAAGGGAAAGGAAGACACTCACCATGAATTTAATCAATACTTATTTCAAGCAACTGCAAATGCTTCCAAGAAGTACAAGAAAAATGAGAAATCTAATTTTCATTACTCAAAAAACCCTCCATTTTTTAACTGTTTTGGACCCTTGTGCTTGTTTCCTCTGAAGTTTTCTTCAGAGGTAAAAATGCATACCAAAAATAGGTATATTTGAGACTTTAAAAAGTCCACTGAACAGTCCAATAAAAAAAAAAAAAGTTACTTAGAAATAAAAATTACCTCACAATATTTTTACTTGCCAATCTTGTTTACTTCATGTTTAAGGTTTTGGGGATGGGGTTGGACTTCTCTTGGGTTTGGATTTGGGAGCACAACCCAACGGGACACAAGGAAGGCTGGCACATAAAATCTATGCAGTGAGCATCTGCCAGCTGTAGAGACCACCACGAATCTGGCATTTCCTGTTTTTTAATTCTTTAACCTCACAATTCAAGGCAGCACTGGGTGGGATCCAATTTGCCTAATTTGGCTGCAATAGTAAGCAGTTGGGCCCCAGGGAGCAATGCTGTCAATCCAGTATCACCACCTAAACGCTCCGCTTATCGATATAAAAAGACACCCCTGCAGACCTGTCATCCACTACCTTTGACACCTTCCAAACAGATCAGTAAAAGAAAATAAAAATTACACTATTCTAGCAAAGGCTGAGAGACCTGGGGGCTGTTCAGTCGTGAGAAGGGAGACTGAGAGGGGACCTTACTCGTGTCTACAAATATCTGAAGGGTGGGTGTCAAGAATGGGCCAGTCTTTTTCACTGGTGCCCTGTGACAGGATGAGGGGGCACCAAGTGACAACACAGGAAGTTCCACCTCAACATGAAGAAAAACTTCTTTACTGCAAGGGTGATCGAGCCCTGGGACAGGCTGCCCAGAGAGGTTGTGGAGTTTCCTTCTCTGGAGATACTCAAGACCCATCTGGACACATTCCTGTGTGACCTGCCCTGGGTGTTCCTGCTGCAGCAGGGAGGTTGGACCTGATGATCTTCAGAGGTCCCTTCCAACCCCTATGATCCTATGATTAATCTGTTGATGAAAGCTCTCAAATAAGATGCAAAATGTTGCAGAAGGGAAGGTTCAGATTGGATATTAGGAAGAATTTCTATACTGAAAGAGTGGTCAGGCACTGTAACAGGCTGCCCAGGTTGGTGGTTGAGTCATCATCCTTGGAGGCATTCAAGAAACGTGTAGATGTGGCACTTCGGGGCATGCTCTAGTGGCCACGGTTGTGGGGTTTTTTGGTGGAGTGTATGGGGTTGTGTTTGTTTGGTTTTGGGTTTTTTTTGTGCTGATGGTTGGACTCGATGGTCCTTTCCAACTCTGATGATTCTGTGACTCTATGCCTTGAACACACAGCTCCTCCAGTCAAGATGAGCAGCCTAAGCATCAACCTCCACTCTAAATCTTGAAGCCAAAGCACAGCCTGACACACAGATGCACTGACACTCTCCATGGTATTAATATGAGTATAACTAATTCTGACATTACAAACAGGCTCTCTCTCACACACACACCGATTTTAATCCTCTGCTGTAGAGACTGCAAACCAGGGGCACTCTTATGAAAAGTGTCATTAAGTGTCCTGCTTTTATGCCTCCAATTAGAGCAGCTTACACGCACTGCAGATGGCACAGCCACTGCCACCCATCACAAACAGGCAAGCTACAAACAGTTCTGCTCAAAGGATCTCAATTTGTTCAAGACTCTTGAAAGTAGAGAACATCCAAAACAAAAGACATCTTGCATCATTCTTAAAAACAGTCAAAATTGGAGGAAAAAATGTAAATCTTTCACATATTAAGTCTACGCTGAGAAGACTTAAGGGCCTGCATCAATTTTCACAGGGCAGTGCACTCAGTGAAGTGAATGGGAGCAGTCATGCATGTGGAGCTACCAATGTGTGCCAGTTTTCAGTGTTAATAGCCTGGTGAGTCTGTTTTGGGTTAACTGTGTGAATACACCCTGTGTGTTGACAGCCATTAAGGGAACATTTTATTATCTTTACAAACATTCTGTGCTTTTCTGGCAGGTGAAGATCACTTGAGGGTTCAGCCTTTTTAGTCAAACTTTGTCTTTCAGCAATACTGCTGCACTGCAGTTCAAATTCAAGGAGATAATGACATTCTCTAAAACCTATGGGCAATCCAAGAGTGACAGAGGTCAACATATTTCTTTTCCTTCTCCATGAAAATTTTAATTTTATGTTCTACCTTTTTAATAAGTCAGACAACAACTTCACAAGTCCTCTACCCCTCTCATTCCTACCTTATTCCATCTCTACCATGACAATACCCCACAAAATGTCTCATTTAAATAATCTAAATTAAAACTAACCCTTCATATAGCAGTATTAAGTATTGCTTAAAACTATGACATAAAAATGTATCTGGTTCACAAATCTGCCATAATTAGTAATCAAAACCATTTGTCAAAAATTAACACTATTTCAGCAAATGAACAAAGACCACCCAGACACTGGGAGAGACCCACACCTGACAAGTACCCAATAAGTAAGTTTAGGTCTGAATTTTCAAAAATGCATGGATTTTAGTTCAGATTCCTATAAAAGATATCCCTATAAAATTTTAACTTTGAGCTTGACAGTCTACAAGAAGATTAGAATTATTCATCATAGAATTATTCATCATTAAGGTTGGAAGGGACCTTAAAAATCATTAAGTTCCAACCCCCCTGCCATGACAAAATTAAAATTTAGATGCCTAATTTATAGAAAGTTGTACTATTCTGCAGTTTTACTAATCAGTAAGAGCCACTCTAATTAAGAAAATATTCCTCCCCACTTCTCAAGGAGAGAGATGCCATGGGCTTCATGTCCTTTCTGCTTTACATACGCAACCTTCGGTTTTACCAATTTCTGTTTCTGCAGCAATGTTATAAATATATAAATTAAGTCAGAACTTTCCAAATTGATGCCAGCAAAAGAAAAAGTAGTAGAACAGAACATACCTGCTGATAGAAAAAATTTAGAGTTGGCTTGTCCTCAGTGAACTGGTTTAGAAATCCTTTTGGCAAATACCGAATTCGCAATTCATACCTGAAAAGCAAGAAAATGAGAATTAAACTGGTGGAGCACAAAATAATATAGATTTCCTCACAAATAAAAGTCTTCAAACATTCTTAAAAATAAGGATAAAATCACAACAAACTCAGAAAACTAAGGGGAAAGTTCCTCTTTTCACTACTCAGAGAATTAAACTGGGATGCAGTACCTGACATTTCCTAAAGATGTTTTCAAAGAACCTTTTCAATAGAAGTAAAGGTCAATCCCTGTGGTATCAAGACTTGGAGCAGACAAATTATCAGGTTCTAATCCATGGGAAGAGAGGCCCTAATTAGGTGAGGACAGCAGATAAACTGCAGTAACCACTGGCATGACCCCCTGGCAACAGCTTTTATCTTTGGTTGTCACAAGTATGGTACTTAAAACACAGATCTCCCTGCTCAGCCAGCGTTACTCACCAGAGAGCCACAACCTACAGACAAAACAAGGGCTTGTATAAGTGAGAATACTCCACTCCTCTGATCAAGTGCTGAAATACTCACTGAAATACTCTTTGAATTGTTCTGAAGGTTTTGGAGGGATTTCTCTGCAAAAAGGTTTCCTACTTCCTTACTTATCATCAAAGTGCACCCGTTTTCAGTGTGACAGACAAATTTTTCAAGTTAATAATGTATCACAGAGGGATGAAGATTCAGAATTAGCCTTGATTCATTCTCAAACCCTAAACTTCTGCTTCCAACCCCTAAATTTAATATTATTGTTTGTCTTGTGGTAACAGCCCACAACGTTTAGCAGTTCCTTCTCCAACTCTCCTGCAATGAAATTCTGATAATAAATGTCCTCACCCTTTTAAGTGTGCCAAAACCTCTTTCCCCAAAATAAGTATAATTAACTAGCTACTCGTGATGGCAAGAGCATATATTGCAAAATTAGAACTTATTTTCAGCAAGTGATCTCACTTCCCACAATCAAGACTTGCACAGGTAACTGATAAAAAGTTACTAGAGTTGCTGCTGCTTAGGATTCCACTGCAAAGAGAAGTGAAATAAGAATAAGAATTATTCTTCTTTGCTTTAAAAGAACTGAAAACGTATTGCAGTTAGAAATCAAAATAAGGAAAACATTTAGAAACTGTGAACACGTGCATATACATACTGTATACAAACCAGGAATATTTAGAATTAAATTTTCATAAAGGAAAATTCACTCTCAAGTCTTTCTGTGCACAGAAAACGTTCTTAAAGAGATTCTTTAGACAGCAGGATATACAAGAGAGCTGGAGAACACCTGAGAGAGGGTAGATTTAGATTGGACATAAGGAAGAAATTTGTTATGATGAGGATAGTGAGACACTGGCACAGGTTGCCCATGGAAGCTGTGGCTGCCCTATCCCTGGAAGTGTTGAAGGGCAGGTTGGATGGAGCTTGGAGCAACCTGGTCTGGTGGGAGGTGTCCCTGCCCATGCAGGGGGGTTGGAACTCGATGATCTTTAAGGTTCCTTCCAACCTGTGATTCTTTTGCTGACAGACATTTACATTTCATCATACACAGACAATACCTAGTTTTAGATGCAAGCCAAAGGTACCTGCAAGTGTATAAATGCTCAGAAGAGAAAGCAGGACAAGCACACGGTCCAGAAGCAGAAAAAGAGCCTCCCCTATGGGCCACTTCTGCCACGTCCCCTCAAATCTACCACTAAACACCACTGGAGAGACTGGTATGGAATAAAACAAATCTATACAGAACAACTTTTTTAATTTTTGGGCCTCTATAACCCACTAAATTTTATTCCTCTTCCTATACTTTAAGATTAAAACTAGCACTGTTCTCTCAAAACTACCCTTCTCCATTCCTAATTGCATCCAAGGCGTATTTTGTCCTTCTATTCTCTCCTTATCCTTTATCCACCTGAATTCCTCTCTGTGGTAGCAAGTTCCTGTATCTCATTTCAAGCCTTGCTGCATGAAACAGTAAGCAGGGGGAAAAAAAATATTCAGAAGTGAAAGATCCAACCTTTGAGCAAAGAAAAACTGACTGACCCAATAATTGAAGGTGACTGGAAGCTGGTTATCCACACTGTGGTACCTCCCAGTTAATTAAAACATAGTTTCATCCTTTCCCACTGGAGCTACTTTGTCAGATCACTGGAAGTTAATGCAAAATCCAGTACCTCTTTTATTACTGCTCAGATAAATCTTTGAGGAGGAACTGGCAAAAAAATTGCAAAGGCTGATGTGCAACTCCAGGGTATTACCATGGCACAAGGCAACTTAAAAATCAGCGAGTGAAGTCAACTAAGGACAACTCAGGAAATTACAAAGGAACACTGGCCACGTTTCTAGGGCACAAAGCTCCAGATTCACCTCAACAGATTTCTTCATGCCTAGTTTGGTTCAAGACAGAACACACAGTGCTTCTGGCATTGAATTTTCACACTATATGATTGAAAATAATCCTTTATTTGGCCTCTCAATGCACTAAGAAAAAATACTGGCTGGTACACACTCCACATCACCTCTTTTCCTATTTTTCAGTCATCTTACAAGGCAAAAGTCACAGCCCATTCCAGCCTGAAGAAACAGATGTGGAACTGATCTCAGACCTTCAGTATATATATATTTTCTCACCCTCATCTACATCAGGATGTAGAACATCTTTACCCTCTGGGATTAAAAAAAAAAAAAGTAGGAAAAGCAAACTCTCTCTTTTACAGTGACTTGCTTTCTTGATTGAGGAGCCATGAAAAGCACTGCTTTTGCAACAGGATCTTATGAGAAAAACAGAGAAGGCAAAAGAGCTTGGCTGACCAGTCACTGAGAGTGACCTTCACTACCTATTTTATAACCTTATCTCCAGCTACAGTGATGGGAATGAAGAAGCTGGCTTTTAAAGGCCAGCTCAAGGATGGGCTTGATTTTCAACATCCTCTAGATCTTTGAAATGCAGCCAACTGATATGGATGACAAGTCCCTTTCTCGTGAGCCAGGGGTGTTTTCTGAGCAAGTACACCAACTGATGAAACCTCCCTGTTTGATAAAACCACAAGACTACTGTTCTACTTGCTGCTCTGCATCTGTGCTGCAGTGTAGGTGCCTTCATGCACACTGGCACACACTATGGGCCTCTACTCAGACCTGCAGAAAGGTGGGCATCAACAGAGTTAACAAGATGTCTGGTGAAGTGACCTGTCCACAGCACAGTACACTACTGAGTAGTTCCAGGAGTTTCCTTTTAAGTAACAAGAACTACCTGGGCAGTTTCTGGAGCCAAATATGTAAGGATGGTCCAACTCTTAGTATTTTTGGTACTTAAAGAAATTATCTCACCAGCCTCAACCATGGAGGTTGCTTCCAGCAGATTCCAAGTCAGTTCGTATCAGCAGAAAAGTTACCAGAAAGGAGAAAATGGGATCAAAAAGGGTAGACAAAGGAGAAAGAAAATAGCCTTGTGTGGGTTTAAAAACTATATCAGCTCACTGTTAAGATCAGACAAGCATTAAGGGTCATGGAAGAAAAGGCAAAGGAGTGGATAACTGGAAGCAAAGGAGGGGAGACTGTGGAGAGGAGAGGCAGAGAGCTTTTTAGATCAACTTAGTCAACTCATTAAACCATTCTGCAGGTGGTCTGGCCTTTGTGTCAGTGCCAAGGCAGTTGCACTGCAGCTCTCAAAAGCTTACAGTACAGGACTGCTATGCACTGGGGCTTCCTTTGGGGCATCTTCTACCTGATAGAGCCCAAACATCAATGTTGCTGTTTACAAGGACCTGCTTTAACTACAAACTTTATAGAACCAGAAAGTGTTGACCCTGTGGGAAACTGTTACTCAACCTCTTGATTCTCCCCTTGTGGGACAAAAATGACTCACAAATGAAACAGTGTTTTGGCACATATCATTTTTTGTGACAGAAAGGGCAGCTGAAGGCTCATACTACAAAAAATCACGAGGGTTGGCGTTACCTATGATTTAAGAGTCCCACATCCTGGTAACCTCAGATCACCTCACTGTACAGATGTAAAGACAAAGGGAAGAAAGCTCTTTCACCTTTCTCCACTCCAGTCTTTATTGCCTTCCTGTGAAAAAGCTCTGGGATTGTCACAGTTTGACTCAGGTCCGACAACAATGCTCTCGATCCCCCC